AACCAAGCTGTATAAGTCTTTCCCTTTATAAATCTCCATTGTTCCCAAGACTATGGATGGATGGATATGAGCATTCCAGACATCATAAAACCAAACCACAGTATTATCTCTTTTTTATTTTCAAGAAAAATTGTGCACCATGGAATATTCCTCAGCCATTAAACAGAATTCATTTGAATCAGTTCTAATGAGATGGATGAAACTGGAGCCCATTATACAGAGCGAAGTAAGCCAGAAAGATAAAGACCATTACAGTATACTAACACATATATATGGAATTTAGAAAGATGGTAACGATGACCCTATATGCAAAACAGAAAAAGAGACACAAATGTATAGAACAGACTTTTGGACTCTGTGGGAGAAGGCAAGGGTGGGATGTTTCAGGAGAACAGCATCGAAACATGTATATTATCTAGGATGAAACAGATCACCAGCCCAGGTTGGATGCATGAGACAAGTGCTCAGGCCTGGTACACTGGGAAGACCCAGAGGGATCGGGTGGAGAGGGAGGTGGGAGGGGGGATCGGGATGGGAAATACATGTAAACCCATGGCTGATTCATGTCAATGTATGGCAAAAACCACTACAATATTGTAAAGTAATTAGCCTCCAACTAATAAAAAAAATAAAAATAATAATAAAAAGAAAAAGAAAAATTGTGTGTGTGTGTTAGTCACTCATCAGTGGTGTCCGACTCTTTGCAACCCCATGGACTGTAGCTCACCAGGGTCCTCTGTCCATGGGATTCTCCAGCCAAGAAAAAGGACATATATAAATATTAACCGAAGGTAAGGGGACTTATTTTCTTCTGAATTTTCTAAAAACTTTTTTTTAATGAAGCCTAAGGTCACACGGGGGCTCCGCTTGGTGGCTCAGTGGTAAAGAACCCGCCTGCCAATGCGGGAGATTCAGGTTTGACCACTGGGTCAGGAAGATCCTCTAGAGTAAGAAATGGCAACCCCCTCCAGTATTCTTGCCTGGGAAATCCCATGGACAGAGGAACCTGGCGGGCTACAGTCCCTGGGTTTGCAAAAGAGTCGGACACAACTGAGTGACTAAATAACAACAACAAGGTCATACAGGGATTCTGTCATCAAATGCTATCTCATTTAAGTCCTAAGAGGGGCTTCCCTGGTAGCTCAGCTGGAAAAGAATCTGCCTGCAATGTGGGAGACCTGGGTTCGATCCCTGGGTTGGGAAGATCCCCTGGAGAAGGGAATGGCTACCCACTCCAGTATTCTGGCCTGAAGAATTCCACGGATTGTATAGTCCACAGGGTCGCAGAGAGTCAGACACAACTGAGCGACTTTCACTGCACTAAGTCCGAAGGTCACCTCCTACCTCTCAGGGTCCACGACCATCACTGTTTCACTGTTTTCAGATCACTGTTTCCACAGTGATGAGGATGCTGAGGTTCTAAGAGCACAGTGCCTTATAATACACACTTGGCGGAGACGCTCTGAGGGCATTTCTGACACCATTGCTGCTACACACAATCAGAGGGGCTTGTAAACACATACAGGAAGGGGCGGAGGTGAGAGCAGAGGGAGAGAACTGGAAGCCCCAGCTCGCCGCAGCTGGAGGCAGGCCCACCCCTTTTGCCACCAGGAAGGTCTGAGGACTCAGGTGCACAGACAGACCCGGCCACCTGGACAAGCCCAGATGGCCCACCGTCCGCAGAGAGGAAAAAAGGGACATCCGCGCCCAGACTCGGCCTTCGAGGGCGCTGTCAGCTCCTCGGCTGGAGACCAAAGGTCCCTGGAGGCTGAGGTGCAGGAGTCACTTTGAGCCTTCTCTGCCCTTCTTCCTGCCCACTTGTAAGGAGGAAGGAATTTGTGGGAGGGTGGTTTGCAGGCATAAAGCCGGGCAGGATTCCCTCGACGTTCATCTTGGGCTCTGCCAGCTGATGGAGTGCGCCCAGCCCCAGCGTCTGTACCGTGTGATGAGGCCTGACGACTCCGCGGCTTGCCCACGGGACTCAGTCATTGCATGACCATTGCTCTCACTGGCTAAGAGATGAGAGGGAAACACAAAGCCAGGATTCACAACTGCCCAGCAGGAGTGCCTGCCCAACCCAGCTCCCATCTTCTTCCATCTAAGAGGACTGGGGTGCAGAGAAAAGGGAGTGGTGTGAAATCTATTCCAGATGTGTCGAAGCCAACTGGGGACTCACCCACCAAATCAGATTTGAATCAACCCAACCCAGATGGAGCCGGATTTGCCAGTCTGCTCACCTAGCCACAGGGCAGGGGAGAAGCTGCGAGGAACGCAACAATCAAAAGGGAAAGCTCGACATGCCAAGGGAGGGCTGGGAGGAACATCTGGTCAACCTCTCATTCACTTACTGGTTCATTTGCTCATGTCCTCATGACTTGAACACCTTCTGTATGCTGGCCCTGCAGACATGAAAATGACCCAAGCAGATCAAATTCTCTAAGTCTGGAAATCAGTGGGGTTTCACTACCATAAACAAGTAAAGGGTAAGAGGTCACAGGCTGAGAACCGCCATGGAGAAAAGGTCTACCAAGGAACGGGGATTGGGGTGATGGAGATGGTGGGCTGGCAGTTGTCATTCCAATGTGAGCCCAGAAAGGCCTCGTTGATAAAAAGAAAAGAAAGGGAAGTTGCTCAGTCACCCCCAACTCTTTGGGACCCCGTGGACTGTAGCCTACCAGGCTCCTCTGTCCATGGGATTCTCCAGGAAAGAGTACTGGAGTGGGTTGCCGTTTACTTCTCCAGGGGATCTTCCCAACCCAGGGATCAAACCCAGGTCTCCCGCATTGCAGGCAGATGCTTTACCCTCTGAGCCACCATAAAGTGTCATCTGAACAGAAACCTGAAGGAGATGGGATGGACCACACAAATTCTGCAATTAAGACAACACACAGAGGGACCCGCATGTTCAAAGACCCTGAGGCAGGATCAGGTTTGCCATCAACTCAGCCAAAGGAGGTCACCGCCCGTCAGCCAGGGCTGGTAACCTGAAGGGCACACCTCCAGAGGCCCCTGAACACAGAGGTCCCTTCAGCAGTTCTGCTCCAAAATCTCAGCGCTGGGGACACATTGGGGAAACTCCCAGTGGGGACGCCACTACTAAGGCTCCAAGGGGACGCCTTCACAGGCCCCTGCAAAGTCCCCCAATGGCACGGGGACCTCTGTGGCCTCAAAAGGCCCAAGGATTCAAGTGACGAAGACTTTCAGAAGAGATTTCGTGCCCTCCTCAGGACTGACCCAAAGTTTACAGTATCAGAAACCTCTCCTCCAATCGAACCAGAACCTTTCACACTAGGAGGTCAAGACCACTACCACCCTGGGCTATGGTGAGTGAGACACGGCCCCCAACAGGGGGCACCTTGAAGGCTGTGACACAGGGCACCCTGGAGGGGGGATGCCTCAGTGGCGGGGGCTTCTGGGGACTGGTGAGCACCTTCTGGAGAAGGACTTCTTCTCCCTGGAAAGCTGCAGGCCCAGGTGGAGCACAGAGGGAGGAGAGCGGTGTGGCTGAGACGCAGGCCAAGGTGCCCAGGCCCTGTGACATCACACAGCCCAGGGCAGCAGGCCAGGGAAGGGCGGGGTTTCAGGCTGCCGCTCTGTCTAGGAGACGGGGCAGCATCTGCATCAGGTTCCAAGCAGAAAGCTCAGCTCAGGGCGCGGAGCTGCAAAACCCAAGCCTGCAGCGAGGATCCTGGCAGGACCACCAAACATCAAAGGGATCCCTGATGAGATGTCTGAGGGGCGCCGGGAGCAGGGCCAGGGAGAGGAATGCCCCAGTCCTGGCCCCGGATCCTCCATGGCTCCAATCTTAATGCATCCCTGGGGCTCCCCTTTGCCCGCTGCCTCCCCACCTCCGGGCCCAACAACATGCGGTGCCTACGCAGAGGGGGCTCGCAGGGGAACCCGCCCTCACCGAGCGTCGGCCTACAGGCAGGGACTCGGGGAGGCAGCATCTTCCATCAACAAATGCACAGCAGGGACAGGACCTCAGTATGGACCAACTCCTGAGCCCACGCGTGCCCCGGCGGTGAGCTGGCCCTCTCTGCCATGTGTCGGGAGCTCTCTTCCCCTGTTCCCAGGGCCTCAACCTGACCCTGGGAGGTCCTCACACTGCTGACGATCCACGGAAGACATCCTCTGAAGCCCGCAGCCCCAGCGGCCGCCCCCCTTTCTGGTCTCAGGTCCTCTGTTGCCTATCTATGCTCAAGGGACGAAGAACCAACGTTTCAGGAGAGGGAAGCGGTCAGTTCCTCCCAAACCTGGAAGGAGAATTCGAGGGAAGGAGTGTTCTTCCTGGGGCTGACACTAGGGAGACAGAGGACAAGCCGGATGTTCTAATCACAGCCTCCCGTCCACACGAGCTGGCCTGGCCGCCTGGGAAGTGGACCAGGTACCAACGTCAGCAGCGAGGCACTGCCCAGCAGTGACCAGTGACCCTGCTCAGTCATGTCCAGCTCTTTGTGACCCCGTGGACTGTAGCCTACCAGGCTCCTCCATCCATGGGATTTTCCAGGCAAGAGTACTGGAGTGGTTTGCCGTTTCCTTCTCCAGAGGATCTTCCCAACCCAGGAATCGAACCCAGGTCTCCTGCATTGCAGGCAGACGCTTTACCATCTAAGCCACCAGGGAAGTAATAACATACTGCTTGTAAGCTCAATCACGTCCGACTCTGATACTGGAGTGGGTAGCCAATCCCTTCTCCAAGGGGTCTTCCGAAGCCAGGAATCAAACCAGGGTCTCCTCATTGCAGGCGAATTCCTTACCAGCTGAGCTATCAGGGAAGCCACCCGTGGGGCGTGCAAACATCAGCACCCACATGGCAGTAACAGCACTGACAGCTGGAATGAAGGGAGGCTGCGGGGTGGGGAAGCAAAGCACCAACTCCAGACGCGCCTTCTGCTGAAGGCACGGCTCTCCTGCGCCCCGGCCTTCAGCAGGGGGGCCCGGAGGTCAGAGGTGCCCACGGCGCCGTGCAGGGCGGCGGGCAGGCCGGGCACGCTTACCTGCCTCGCCACCCTCCGAGCCTCCCAGTAGGGCTTCGAGTCTTCCACGGCCTTGCCGATCTTCTTCACCAGCTCATCCAGCTTCACCGTCGCTTCGACCAGGACAGAGCGGAACTTCTGACGGATGTCCTGCGGACAGGAAATTGAGGACAGAGTTCAGGCTTAAGGAGCCTGTGGAAATCCACTTGACTTCCCCAGAAGCATCCAGAATGGCCTCCACTCGACCATGAAGCCTGTGCGTACAAGCCCATGTCTACAACAACGGCCCCCACGAGAACCTGGCATGATACTGCAAGCGTCCCAGCACTTGTGCCGGCTGTATGGCAGCCCCCAGCCACACGTAGCTACTGAGCACTTGACCCTGGCTAGCGAGACTAACAGAAGGAGCTTTTCACTTATTCCATTTTATTTAGATATGCAGAAACAATCAACGAGGCCATGACTACCATATCAGACAGCGCGGGTTAGACCTCCAGAGGAAGACGTCTAACCTGGTCATCCCTGGCAGTTTCAGTCCATGATGATGGCAGTATTCGTCACACGCCCGTGATGTCCCCAGTCCTGTGACACGGTCAACGCTCAACAGCGTGTGCCAATTTCTGACAGGCCAGGCCCTGTGCTCTGCCTTGGGCTCGGTCCCTGCCTTCAGTCCGGTGGGTGAGAGGGGGTCACCTACAGCCCAACCCGGAGAGTGTGTGAGGATGGGACCAGCACAGCTGCCGTGGGGCCCAGGACCCAGAGCCTCAGCAGGCCAGGTAAGCAGGGGTGGGAGACGCACCCTTAGAGGGGGACTCACGGGGGCTCCCAGGGTGCCATCTGCACAGAGGCCTGAAGCATGATGGGCACTGGGGGACGAGGGGAACACCCAGTCCGGGGCAGCAGCAGAGACACAGCCACAGGGAAGGGGCAGGATCGGGCTGGCATCTTCCAGAGACTGCAGGAAGCTGGACGTCTGGAATGTGGGGAATGGCTAGAGATAAGGGCGGCCACCCCCTCCGGACACGCCACAAGCCATACGGGCCTGGACAGGCGTCCGGGAGAGGGGAACAGGGAAGGGGGTGGGCGGCGCCAGGCTTCACTGCATCATGAAAGTCAGGAAACCAGATGCCACGAGGAGAAGAATCACAAAGACAGTCTGGTTCCAGCTCTAGGAGGACACTGGGAGGGTCAGTCGGGGCCTCAGAGACGTGGTCCCCTCCACCTGTCCTCCCCCAGGGAGCTGGCCTGGCACGGCCACAGCCTGGGGAGTCTGCATGCATGGGGGCGGGGGACGTGGGTGCTGGGGGAGGAGGAACAGCACATGACCACCAGCCGCTGGGGGGGCCCCAGGAGCAGCCGGCCACCCCGCTGGTACACACGTGTGTGCCACTGGCTGCAAAGGGGCTGCCTCACTATCTGAAAACTGCTTCTAAGCAGAAGATTATATGGACCTCGTGGGTGAATGGGATAGCTCACAGGAGGTCAGGAAGGCCCCGATCACGCCTAATTTGCTCTCCCCCCATCATTTCGCGCCGTGGGCTTTCTAGGTGGGTTTGAAATATACGAACGTGGCCTTTGCCTTACACGGGAGCGTCTCAGCCCCTGGGCCCCCCCCTCCTGTATCCTTGGTCCCTCCCCCCAGTCCTGTGTCCTCATCATCAGAAGCTGCTCCGCCTTCCCCCTGCCCTGGCCAGGTCTGCAGTCACGTGCTTCAGCTACAGCTGCTGAGGACAGGACAAGCTAGACGTGTCCTCCAGAGGACACGCCGCGCACGCGCGTGCGGGCCGCCCGGGGACAAGCAAAGCCCTGCTGAGCTGCTGTCGGGCTTGACCTGCAGTCCGTGGGAGGCAGCGTGTTGGCTGCAGCTCTAGACTTTCAGCAGAGAGATGGATCTAAACCGGTTAAACCTCTTTCTACAAGCTCTGATCGAGTCAGTTCTTTATGCATAGTTTTTATTACCTATAAAATGGTTCTCTTCCATCTCACAGGGAGGGCTGTTAGTTCTTAGGAGGGCAACACCTAGATGGGGCAACACGGCGCCCCCTTCCTACCTGGTAACCAGGGGCTAGAAGTAGAGGAGAGACAGCCCTTAGCGACGGTCCTTTCCGATTTGCCCAGAGCTATTCCCGGCACCAGTGACTGTGACGGCTGGGTGCCTAACAGCCAGCTCCTGGGCACACAGTAGGTACTCAATAAATGCACACAGTTCCCCCCCCCCCGGCATAAAAAGAGACTCATTATTCTACAAGGGGGTAGCTCTGAGGGGCAGCTGACCCGAGGGGGGAAAACCCACTTCGCAGATGCGCCCACATGCACAACTGCATCTCTAGGCCACAGACGGGAAAACCGGGGCCCAAATCAGTGACCGGGGGCGGGTCACACCACCACTCTCCATCCTCTCTGGGACGTGAGAATCGGACCTCAAACCAGGAGCCCACGGACCCACAGGCTTCGTGCCCTTGGCTATATGCTATATACTAACTGGAAAGTTAACATAATTTGTCCATTTCAAGAAAACTCATATATTTTAATTTAGATTCCAAATTCCTCATGAAGAAAAAAAAAAAAATTTTTTCTTTTTTTTAAACCAGATGATTAGGCAACACTGGGCCCCCGTTTCCACCTGGCAGCCACTGGTTAAAAGTGGAGAAGACGCCCCTTAGAGACGGTCCTTTCTGGCCCCACGCCCTGTGCCTGAGCCACGCCCAGCCCGCTTCACCCACTGACCTGCCCTACCCAGGCCTCGGAGACTTCCGATTTGCCCAGAGCTACGCCTGGCACCAGAGACTATAATGTAAGCCACCTACCCGCGCGAGGGGGCATGCAGGGAACAGATGGCCAGTCTCCCATGGGGCAGACACGGATGCGTTTATCCATCCGTGTATGCAGTCACTAACAACCTTACCAGCTAGGTGCTTCGGCTGCTCTCTCTTTTTAACTGAAGGACAGTTGACTTTCAGGGTTGTGCCAGCTTCAGGTATATAGCACAGAGATCGAGTGGTACCCACCTCTCTCTTCTTCCCAGATCCTTCTCCAGCCTAGGTTACCGCAAGGTACTGAGAACAGTCCCCCGAGGGCCATGGGGGTGCCACACTGGACGAGTGTGGCCAGGAGCCTGCCCAGGGAGCCTGCCCATGCTCACAAAGTTGGGAGATGGCAGAGCTAAGTCCTCACTTTAGACGTCCCCAAGTGGTAAATAAGGAAGCACCTCAAGTGGTAAATAAGGAAGCACCTCAAGTGGTAAATAAGGAAGCACCTCAAGTGGTAAATAAGGAAGCACCACGTAGTGCGTTAAGTACTAAAGACCTCGGTCTACACGCCGCAGCAGACACCACACCCAGGACGGCCACACCCAGAGAGAGAGTCACCCCAGCCAGGACGTGGAGACGGGGGGATTTCACCAGACAGAGAAGGGGGCACGGCAGCTGAAGGGCCAGCAGAGCCAAGGGCGGCGGCGGGGGGGCCGGCGGGGGGAAGGCCGCGGGAGCCGCTCCCAGGCTCTGACCTCGGTCCTACGTGCATCGGGAGACAGGGTAGGTTTGCGAGGGAGCCTCCGTTTACCTCCCAAGCACGTGCTATCAGTAATGCCTGAACACCGCTCTGCCTCTTCCCTGGGGGTCCCGTGGTTAAGAATCCGCACTTACATCGCAGAGGGGCAACGTGCGATCCCTGACCCCACAGACTGTAAGGCCAATAAATAAATAAATGGATACGAACAAAAAAGAGTTTTGTTTTGTTTGTTTGTTTTTTAAAAGAAAAAAGACAGAAAACCTCGGGACTGTGAACACAACTTTCCGGGCCGCAACAATGTACACGCTGAAGGCTGATTGCAACCTGGTCCTGCCGGGAGAAAGGGGGGCTGGGCAGGGAAGGAGGGAGACGGAAGCTGGCTGGGCAGGGGAGGAGGGAGACGGAAGCCTCCTCTTCCAGCGCGGCGTGGTGGGGTGAGAGCTGAAACTAAAATGCCAAGAAGCAGCCACACAAAGCCTGCTGTTTAAGAGTGACGGAAGTAAATACCTAAATAGCCAGCTAAAATATGGTAAACAGATCAATTAAATTGCCTCTAAGAGAGAGAAATACAGGGCTGGGGTGGGAGGATGGGATAGTAGTTGGGAGGGGTTGTTTTTGTCTTGTTTTTTGCCCTTTTTAAAAATTGTAGGAAATTATCACAGTGGATTTTTAAGCAGAAGCATCCACAGATCAAATCTGGGTTGGGGTCCCCACGTGAATCTGGTGAGCAGACTCAGGGACCACCAGCCTGCTCGAGCGCGTGACCGTCAAAGGCTGCTGAGTCCAAGAGATATCATTTGACATGAGCGTCTCCCTCCATCAAAGAGGCTGTGCTGCCAGGGATGATGACGCAGGGCTGGCTGGCAGCCAACCAACAACAACTATTCATCCAAGACATGTTAAACGCTCAACACAAAGCCAGCCTTCTCCCTGATAAAAGAGTGGGCCTAGTCCTTCCACCATTCCACAGAGGGGCATGGCTGTCCGAGTAATAATTCACCATAAAATCCTGAGGTGTGGGAGCCCACAAAACCAACATCTTCCCTGCCTACCCAACGTAACAGCCCTGATTTTACTGGACCTCACCCTGGTCTCAGAACTGATCCCATGCCTGGCCATCACTACGGGATACTCCGAGCTTCAGTGACTGTTAAGGAAGGTCATGGGACCCATCAGAACCAGAAAGATTTCATTCTGGGACTTTTCTGAAACTGTTAAGAGCAACTTTTTGCACTGAGATGGCTGAGAAGATGAAATAAAAGCTGGAGCAGATGGCAGCTGTCTTGGCACCATGAGGGGAGGATCCACCAGAGGCAGGGAGAGAAGGAGTCCCAGTGACACTTTGAACTTTTGGACCTAGCAGTGCTTTATAGTCTAACCCTAAACTCCACTTCCCCAGAGCGAAATGGTGCACACACACAGATGCATACAACTGCCACCCCTGCTTTATGGTTTAAGCTAGTTGGAACTGGATTTGTGTCCTTTGCAACTGAACTAAGTCTCTTTTTTTTTTTTTTTGGGAGACTATTTCTCATTTATTTTTATTAGTTGGAGGCTAATTACTTTACATCATTGCAGTGGTTTTTGTCATACATGAAATGAATTAGCCATGGATTTACATGTATTCCTCATCCCGGTCC